ATTATTATCATCATCTATCATTCCATATATTTTACGTTTAGTTTATAGTTGGTGAGTGTCATATGGGTCTTTGACCAAATCGTTATAGCTATTAGAAACAAGGAAATACTTTAAACTTATTTGCCATAATTATATCAAGTATATATTTTTCTCATTAGTACTGTTGTAGATGAATTATCTATGTACATATTAGATAATAATTATTAATGATTAGCTTCTTTGTGGAATTGTCCTTAGTATACCTAAATGTTTGGTATCAATTTATATGACTTTATTTAATTAATTTGAATTAACTTTGAAGATCTAATAATAAAAATATTTAATTAACAAATCTGTAAATGTGTAGTAAATAGTATATAACAGAAGAAATATATTCTCTTTATCCATTTAGTTTTTAGTTTATATCAAATGTTACTAAAATATTTCTTCTAAAAAAATTATTGTAAAATATTTTTAAAATTTTTTAAATTGGTCTTACAAAATTTTTTAATCTCAAAATATTTCGTTTAAAAAATAACAGAAAAATATTTACATAATCGTCAAACTGGAGGTCAAATACTTGCATCTTCATCTGGATGAGCACGGTAAACACTCTGAGAACTTCGTCACCGACTCACTGTCCGTTCACTGTTCTTCGGTAACCTCGGAGTCTAGGAGTCGCCTCTCTAGCGTGAACACGTGAAAATAGTGCGACAACCTGAGAAGGTAGAATGCGGACGCCGATTCATAAGTCTCCTGATTCCACCAGGCGTCAACCGGCCCCCACCGTAGAGAGCTCGACTTGGATATTTCTTAAGTGCATTGTTTGGTTTGCTCAAGTTATAGTGAGAAAACTGTTTCAATTCCAAGTTCATTTTTTCACAAATCGGCAGATATAATAACTGCAAATTTGCATTTGAGTCACATAACATTTGAATGTAGGTATACCTATGGGCATGGTCATTTACATAACATTCTAGTCCATTTATCTGTTTCACTATCATATTTGGAAATTAAAAATAACACTTTAAAAACAACCAAAAAGAAAACATAAACCAATAAAACTCATAATGTTGTGTAAACCCACAAAAGGGTTGAATATGTAGAAGTGTCATCAGCAAAAGTATGATAAATAGACACGTATCATTTATAATCACTATGTTCATGTTCTTATGCGATTTAAAAGCTTATATTTTTTTGCAAAAAGTAATATAGAATTCATTAGAAATACCTGGGAAATAGTTATGATTTGTTCAAATTTCAGGTTTCACCAGAACCTATTTTATGATTAATCCCATAGTTTTTAATTTAATTACTTTTAAAATAATTCATACATACAGGTATGAATTCATTACGTGGATGGTAGGATGAGCAGTGGCACAGTAGAGCTGTCTATATCTCCATGTGCCATAAACGTATGCTCCAAAAATGTTGAAACCTCAAATAGTAAACTTTAGAAAATTTAAAAAGTTTAAACTTTCCAAGCCTGTATTGCCTGCATTTAACTTTACAAAAAAAAAAACAACAGGGGACTAAATGGCGGCTGTTAAAAGGTAGTCTCACAGGTTTTTTCTTTAATGCACTGAAGTCGGAAAAATCCGACTCTGCCAGAGTCAGGGAAAATGAATAAATTGAAGGAAAATTGCGTAATTCAATAAATAATGATAACCGGAGAGAAATCGTAAATACATTTTGACATTTTCTTAAAATCCCAAAAATAAAACTGACTATGAATTCTTCAGGTCGAAATGTCATTAAATGTAAACATACTGGACATAATTGGATTCGCTATAAAATAAAGATTTCAATGGCAGGAAAATATTAGGTGCGCATTTAAAATGAGGTTGATGATGGTCGTTGAAATACGAAGCATCACGATAAAAACGATTTCATATTCTTTAGATATTTACACATGTAGCGATATAGGTACTTAAAAAGATTGTGCTGTGTAGGTAAATCAATCTGCGTAGGTTGTATCAGAGATTTGTGCCAGAAAATTAGTTAAAAATCCGATAAACAACAGGATGTTCAAATTATTTTATCCGGTCTAACTGACCTTCTGAATTAGCTATAACTGGTAATATGTTTTGTTTTGTTACAAATAACCGTAACGAATATTACCAGAAAACATAGCATGACGAGTTTTGACCAATTTTGATGTTTGATGTTTTGAATTTCTCTAATCTTCTTCTGATCTACATTATTCTAGATAATGAAATAGTGATTGCTAAAAACTAACGAGACTGTTGAAGTGTAGAGTTTCTGTACCTACCGGGTGGCAGAAAAGTTGAAAACTATTTTTAGCAACCTATTTCATATAAAATATCACACAAACTACAAATAGACGTTTCATTTAATATGAAGTTTTGAAAAAATTCCAAAAATGCGTCGATTTCTAATTTGAGGGTGACATCATTACCTACTTATTTTACAGTTGCCACCCCTTCTTAGATAGAGGTATCAACTTTGATATTTCAAATGGCATTACAGAGCCTGTGATATATCGTTTTAAAGCTCTTTTGATACTAACTTTGAATCCGTAAACAAAATAAAAAAATTATTAAGCATTTTCAAGGAAAAAACATTGAAATTAAATTGGAATTTTGTATTTTTACATTTAAAATGGTTTATAATAGATGCTCAAATGTGCACCCAGTTGTTGGCAAATATGGAGCCTGTCTACGAAACATCTCCTTACATTTGCAAAAACCTCTCGAGTTAAATTCCGACATTCGTTTACAATACGTTGTCTTAAATCTTGATTTGATTGTCGGGTTGATTTGCAAAATCCACTGATTTGAGCTGTCCCCAGAGAAAAATGTCGTTTGGACTCAAATCGAGAGACCGAGCTGGCCATTCTATAGCCTCACGCCTACCTATCCATTGTACTGGAAAATTATGATCCAAATAAGCCCGAACTCGTCACTCAAAATGGGGTGGAGTTCCGTCTTGTTGGAACGTCACAAGAATTTCTGTGATCATGGGATCAATATGATCTTCCAACAGACGTAAATAGCTGACTCCAGTCAAAGTGCTACCTAATAAAATCACTGATGCAGATATTGTAAAGTATATTTTGATTTTCTGTAATTCTGATGATATCACAAAATTGTATTCTTCGATCCGGATCATCCTCGTTCAAACAATGCACAAGATGTATTTTGTACGGATGCCATTTAAGTTTTTGCAAAATCCGATGAACGTTCAACTTAGGGATCCCTGTAGTACGCTCTAACGATCGCACGGATTGGTGTGGATTCATTGTCAGTTTGCCCAAAATTTCTACTTCCATTAATTCGTTAGGAGGATTGGTTTTCTTAAGATTTGCTACGGACCCAGTTTCTCGAAATTTCTTAACAATCTGGCTCACGACTTGTTTGGCGATCAGGATGCAACTCATTGAAAATTTAAGCAGTTTTTCTAGCACATTCATTGTGTTTTCCATAAAGAAAAGTTATTTCAACTAACGAATAAACCATAATGAAAAAGATAAATGTAAAAGTTATACTTTGATTGTAAGCCGAATATGAAATTTGATACAATTGAAAATAGTTTCACAATAACACATTTTCGATAAAATGATATCAAACAAAAAGGTAAAATGGAATGGAATGCAATGGAAATTATGTTAAGAACTTCAATCTTCTTTACGTTTCATTTATCATCTGAAATAGAAACCTTTTTGCAGTTTAATAATAATTAATGTTTTGATGTATGAAAATCTTTTCAGCGGTTAACACATGCTATAAATTAAAATAAAACAATTTTAAATGTAAAAATACAAAATTCCAAAAATGTAATTTCAATGTTTTTTTCTTGAAAACGAATAACGATTTTTTTATTTATTTTACGGATTCAGTCAATATCAAAAGAGCTTTCAAACGATGTTTAGTCACATTTTTAACATGTACTTAATTTTACAGATATACTTTATATTTGTGATTGGCGGTTTTGAAAAAATCACCGAGTAACAAGTTTCCGATTTTTACATCCGCCTTATCGAATCCACCATCTTTTATTTAGGAATTTTCGGATTCAGACTTCAGATTCGTAATAAGCGACCGCAAAAACCGCGCTAACAAAATACAGGCAAAAATATTGAATAGAAACGTGTGATTTAAAGGGGCAAGCGGGACCCTGGTCTGTAGGTGATTTCCAACCCTTTGAGGGATAAGTTATATTATATTTTTTTGGTATGTTGTCTATCAACCTACATATATTTGTATATTTCGTAGCATAAAATACAAGGCTATGGTTTTTTATATTGTTTTGCATTAACGTTATTTGATATTAAGCGTGGAATCGTGGAATTAAACCCCTTTAAATCGCATATATTTCTTTGCAATGCTCAAAAATATTAATTTTAAATGTAGTAAAATGAAGTATTTACAAATTGTTGCTTTTCATTCTAAAGCTTTACCTTATCTTCATTATTTCACCCTATTTTAGAGGATATTTTAGCGTTTTACTAAAAAATGCCCTGTTAGATCGGTTTTTAGGCTGCGGATTTAGATTCAGCATCAAAAAATATACAGTATCTATGTATTCGTGTCTCTGGTACAGAACCTTTTTTTGCGGGGCTGTGTAATAAGGTTATTTAACTTTCTGAAATACATTTGATGTTTTCTGAATTTTTCAAGTTTTAGTAAATCTAATTTATGAATCCTGATATTAAATCAACAATCTTTGAAATTCATTTCACTAATTTAAAATACAAATAACATTATTTTTAATGAATTTGAAGATAAGTACGGAAGTTAGTTTGGCCGTACAGTTATATTTAAAAGTTTTTGTTATCACTTTCACTTTCGTATTTTCTTACAACCACCAGGTACTTCAAGAGCAAATGTTAGCGCTAGTACTAAAAAAAAATTTAAATACGTCTACAGAAACTAATCTTTATGTACACGCGCATTCTGCAGCCAGTTTTAATAAGCCAACTCAAGACACAGCAAGAATTTCTAATTAACAACCCGCGTCGTACTGTTATAATTACCTAAGGTTTATTATAATAAACTTACAGAAACCATCCTGCGTGAATCCTTCATAATTCCGTAATTACAAGATTAACTATCCCCATACACACACACCTTTTCGAGTTCACTTCACAGTCTTTAAACTCGCAATGGTCTGTAATTACCGCGGATGATTCGTACAGTCAGGTATTTATCACACATTAGTCTCGAAACCGTGCCATTTGAAAATGCCCTTGCTATTTGGGAAGCCAGTATCGACATGGTCGCAAAAATATCATTGATTATATTCCGAAAATGCCTCCGGAAATAACCAAAGTTTGTTTCCGAGTTTTTACCAGCACCGAACGGAAGTACGGTCAGCGGCTACCAATTGCTCTTTGGCAACAGGGATGAGGATTATTTTTATGGTGATTTCGCTTTTTACCTTGCAATGTAGGCGTTGCTTTTTTTCTATCTAATCTCTGTATCTGCATCTGATAAATGAATTTGTGTGTTAGGACAGAGAATAATTAAATGTTACCTAAACAAACTGTACATAAAGCGGCAGGTATAGTGTTGGCAATTAATTGCTATTGTATTATCTTTCCGTTCCCGTTTTGATAAAATAGGTATTATTGTTATTAATTCACCGACAAATACATAGATACCTGTTTTTCATCGACTATTTCTGGAAACCTAATATTACTGCAAAAAACAGCTAATTTTGCGCAAGATGTTCGTGAAAGGTGTCACATCATTTTAAAGGTATATTCTACTGTCAAGACCACATTGATAAAGTTCATTTGAGCCAAATTTGTACATCGGACTGTCAAAAGTATTTTCTCAACAGGGAAATCAGAAATAGTCCAATCGCTCTAGTCAAAATTGTATTTAAATATGGCATTAATTCCGCAGTACACAATTTTTTTGCATGCGGCTAGTTTTTTTGGTAGTAAATAAGGTAAAAAATTGTTCTGCTCTGGAGAAAATTCGGGAAATGACCGGAAAACTGCAAAAAAACTTGTTTCTTGAATAACTTGAAAAGTATTACGAGTTTCACAAACATGATGGTACTCCTCACAATACCGCTGCGGTTCGTCAACTTTTACACGAAACTTTGACCTGCTGACCAATGTTGAACAGTCTTTTAAAAACCGAATTCGTGTGTGTACCTATTAATCAAAATGGAGGACACTTCGAGCAACTCTTGTAAATCAGTGGTCTAAAGTATTCGTCTCCTTGTTTCAGTTTGTTTCGTTTTGCGTTTTGTTTCAGTTGTTGTTAGTGGTTTACTTTTGTTTGTCAAACCACTTTTTACACATGCCACTTAATATTGACATTGTCAGTCCCAGGCCTGATAAAATGTGAGAGAAAAATGGTTTTGCAAGGCCTTCTTAACGCTGTTATATGGTTACTTTATATGGAAAAAAGCCGAATTTTTCTGGAAAATTGTTAAAGATAAGTATGGATAACCTTAAATCAGTCGAAAGGGCATTCAATTTTGCATTCACCCATGACAATCAATATGGGTCATTTCATTTAAAAAAAAAGTTTTCCAACTCGTAAGATTATTAAATGTAGGTCTCAGGATTTCCGAGTCTGAATAAGGTACACGTTTTGCTCATAGATGACAAGATAGAGTAATTTATGCCAAAACGAACTGTGAAAACTGCAGATTCCTAACTCCTACAGTTTAGATGCTATCTAGCTTCATTTAAAGAGCTGACATCGTTTTTTAAAAAATAACTGGATATCTCGAAAACGGTGTTTTAAACACCATGTACATTTAATAAACTCTACCTAATATTAACCAAGGAATTAAAAAATGCAATAATATATACTGTGTTCCATTTAAAATAACAAAGTTATGTAGCGCTCACGCGAAATAGAACACCCTGTAAAGCTAGAAAATATTTTCTTTACATGACCTTCATGATTCCAGGCAACTTTTATTAAAACCATTGTTTTTATAAATTTTACAGTTACAGAGTTACAGAAGAATCCCTCTTAGAGGGAACACCCTGTATATGTTGACATATAATACTTAGATGTTTTCTCCGGGCTGGAAGAAAAAAAGTGGAGCCGGCGCTTATATAGCCTAAAAATATGAATGGAATAAAATACATGCAAATTTTTGGCTAGATCGATTCATACAAAGTGCATGTCGCATTTCGCTTGGTTTTATATTGATAAATATTTGCGCAATTTGCTTTAGTTGATTGGTTTTCCCATTAACTTTGTAAAAATACGCAAAATTCGACTGCCAACTAAGCGATGATCCCACACAGTTTTAAGTTGCACGGTGTATGTGTAGATTGGTACAATTGAGGTATACAATCACGAAAACTAGCTTTTTACTATATATGTCTCTATGTCTCTATAAAATCAATATGGTTTACATACTAAGTACAGCTAGGTAGCTAATGTGATGTTTATTAATATAATAAATTTTCAGTAAATATAGAAATTAATTTATTTTTATTTTTTCTAGACGATATTATTTAACACAGTACCATAAACATACAGTTTTGATTGGTAATTATTAATTAAAGTAATTTCATTTTGATAATCATCTTTGATTATACGTATCTCATCTCATTTCTTTTGCCTTCTGGTGAAGTGTCTATAATTTCCATATAATTATTACAATTAGTTACCTACTTATGGGAAAATAAAAAGAATATGGATACTCTCCACTATTTTTCTTACTTTGTTTATAAATAACTAGGTAGGCAGATATACTGGATAAAAAGTTAAAGACAATACGAACGTTATGATTCATAACCGTTCCCAGTTGATTTATGGGAGACAATTATCGAACAATATTGAGCATTTCTTTATTCCACGTTATTGGTATCCATATACGGTACGTATATGGATTTATGGAGCGGCTTATATTGAATGTATATCAAAACAGAGGAAAAAGTGACACACTGCACAATATATAAGTTAACAGTACTAATAACTAGCTTCCTTTTCAAATTATAGGAAAATATATAATTATACGGAGATATTCAGTCACGACATCGGAACAAAAACCGTATGATTCGACTTTACCGCCATACAAAAAACAAAAAATAAGCTTATGCACGTCAGTTCAGCTAAATCACGGAATAATCGACCCCGATGTGGTTTGTTCACTGAACTGCTTTGGCTGATAGTACGTCTTTTTGGTTTTAGTAGACTTATAACAAATGCCTTTATTTCTTCTTCATTGAAACCTCATATTCACGACATCCAATAGCGCGGATCATTCATCAGAATTTAATGGAATTGGTACTTAACAACTGACAGAATGATTACAATTTCTGATTTGAGGAGAGAACTCGATCCTCAACGAGAAAGATTCCGATAAGATATAAGATGAATGGCCAAAATCTATTAAATAACAATGTCTCTAGTTTTTGCGGGAGATCTAGTTCGAAATATCTAGGTCAATGTTGACGATCGGATCAGAATTCAGCAAATCATTACAAGTCTATTTGTCCTTGAGACACGCCGCTCTAATTGTGTTGGTGTACAGTTATCGGCATGCATGAACAAGAAATTATTTTTATAAATAAAGTCAAGATCTGTTTTTTTAGATAAAAAATAAGCACCCACTAAGTTACTCGTGCAAAATTTGACGTGCTTAGTGGAAAAGTATGTAAACAATGAGTTGACTACTTGGGATGCGTAAACTTTAGCATACAGGGTGTTTATAAACTTGGAAAGGATATTTGAAGGTTAAATAACTCGAAAGAAATTTATTATATTTTTGAAAATAGAATATATGTTTTAATACCTACCTAATAAATTACAAGTTATACATGTTTATTTGGCATTATACATTTTTATTAAGTAATCTGTGGTGTAAAACTGTATGAAGGTCATGGATAAGAAAGACCGTTTCTTAAATACGGAGGAAGACATTTTACACTTTGTCGAGGAAAACTCGTGCAGCAGCACCCGCGATATGCTTGTGAAATATTTGTTTTAAATACGACTGTGTAACGTGTGTCGTGGGAGCACTTGCTGTGTTCTACCGCATACAATGTACTTGGTGCAAAAAAATTAAAAAATTCCAACTATGGAAGACGTCAACAAATTCATTCTGGAAGCTTCAAATAAAGCGTATCTAATGATTAAGATAGGGTAAGACATAATTTGAATTTTTGTTCACACCTGTCTACATTTTTAGTTTGATTTTGATGTTTCTGATGCTTCCAGAAACTGAACGAGCTGATCCAAATGAAACTATAGAATAAAAGCTAAGATCATTATTATTGGATGAAATGTACTTAAAAATGTTTACCACGAGTATGTTACGCTAAGATCAGAAAACATGAACAATGTCCAATTTCTCTTCAAATAGCAGATGGTAGGTATCTATGATTTTATGCCTCAAATAGTTACTGCTTATTTGAGTTTGACAATTCCTACAGAATGAGATAATATTAATTTATAAAGTTATAACAGATGGAAGCTCTAGTGGAAGACATTGAATATTGTTAAGGAAGAATCGAATAATCTCTCAACAATAGGTAAGGTACAAAATATTCTTATAGTGTTCTTAAAGTTTCTCAATTCTGATAAAGTTCTTCCACTATTCAATAATTGTATGAAATGTGACAACTGGTAATCTATAAATAATTTAAGAATTTGTTATTTTCTACTGTCTTCGTTATGGCGTTAATACTTTTTTGTATTTCTTTTATGATTCTCACTGTGAGATATTTCTGGTATAAGGCAGGAGCTCACAGAAACGACATTTAGAAGTTCAATTTCGCTAATTATTCTCTGTTTGTTCGCTTTATATTTTCTCATCATGCATAGTCCCCTATAACGGAAAAATACGGCTTGATTTTGATATTTTTTATTAACCTATTTAAATGTTATGTTAATGTTCATGTTTTATTTATATGTATAGAAATGTTTTAAGGTACATCATCGTTCATGATCATTTAAAGATACTGCTTAAATTATACCTTCTCTTCTATCCCCAATTATTCTTCCCCATTACAATCTATATCATTATTATTCTGTTATAAGTTTCGTAATTTAAATCTCATCTTCTTCCAGGTCATAGATGGAAAGGCGAACTACGAGTATATTTTCGCAATTCATGGTGTCCTTATTCCAATTTTTGATCGTCCGCCAAGTTAATTTAGACGAATTGAACATTAGCAGAAGATAGATTGATTCATAATAAGTTTAGCCCTGGAGGGATGATTCATCTAGTAAATGCATTAGGCGTAGGACAACCTGTGGAGAAGACGTCTTGTTTTTCTTATCGATCCATCCTGAGCGACGCTTTTACACGATAGTTTCAAACGAATACCGTTCAAAGTCGGTATGGTACACCTTGTTCATATACTGTGGTTTTTGTAAAATTACTGTAGGATAATAATTATAGACATATTAAATAGACTAGATATATTAAATTAATTCGAAATAAATAAGATAGCAACAAAATTAAACAGTGAACAGTTTAAATTTATACAGAATTCCATCATGTTCCGAACGCTTCCGAAGAGCATAGGTTATCCACCACTGTTCATTTGAAAGGCCATATCTCCGCTTTTGAAATGCTGCTACTGCCGATTGACTTCACACTTGGTATGATATGATAGAATAGTAAACGTGTTAAAAACAAACTGCGAATTCGGTGAAACGGGAATGGCCCAACTGTTTCATTTTGTTACATTTTAATTTTTATTTTCAACTTTATCGGTATGTTGTCATAAAGTTATTTTTTTCAATATTTATCGACGGCACAGTGTATTTTTGTGATTTAATTTTCAAGTTTTTGTATGATATTTTGAAAAAGCATGTTTACGAATCATGAAAAAGTTGATATGGTTAGAGCGTACTTTTTTGTCAGGAGAAAACGATGCTGCTGCAAGAAGACGATATCGGCTGGATTATCTCGACCGTATCGAATTAGAAAATGTTTATATGATTGGTGAAATGAAATCAGAGAATGAGAAATTTAAAACCAGAAATATTAATCCTGATACCAGTAATGGAAGATTAGCCACAAAATTTCAAGTATGTTATATGTTGTAAAAATCGAGTGAATAAACTAAGTATTTACTTATTTTTGTGTATTTCATTTATTTAATTACTGCTTGAGTTATCTATTAGATTAGTTGTTAGGTTGTGTTTCATATTTTATTTTATTTAAAGGAATTAAAATTTCCTTTATATGAGATGATAAGGCTCCTGGCGAATACCCACTCAATGCAAATCTCATAATTATGATATTTGACAACAATACACAGCTCAGTTTTCAACTGTGCATGCGACTAATACGCGCTATTCTTTGAGGTCGCTCTAGCTTGTCCAGCGGCGATGTATGAAAATTACGAAAAAATTTAAAAAAATAAGTTTTCACAACGGAATTTGAAAAAATAAACTATTGATGAGTTTCTAAAGGTCAAACGCAGCCACCGTATAAATTTGACCCCTAATTCGAGGTCCAAGGTTCTCTAATTTAATTTTTTATTTTACAAATTTATTCCGAAGTTTTTTCGTCATGAAAGCTCACTTTGTGTGCATAGAAATAGTCCCCTAAAAATGGTTTGGGTTTTTTATTAAGACATGACGACTTTCCTGTTCACCAGTCAATGGTCGTGATCTCGCAATTACTTTATTTGCAGCAGCTTATCCAATTGAAATTAATTAATAAATTATAGATGTATAAAGGTAAATATGGGAATTGCAATATTATCAAGTTTTATCAAATGATTGTAGTGCAGCAATAGTTTACAACAAATACAGTGATTACAATTATAAACATCAAATAATTTTCTTTAATTTATCAATATTGTTAGCAAGAGTTCATAATTAAAAATATTGGCATGAAATTTTTAGTAATTCTTCCTCTCGTGATCGAGGACCAGGTTTCAGAAGACCAACCCGCCACTGACTGAGCTATTTCGGTTCGAATAGCGCATGTAAACGCTGAAATTCTCTCCTCCCTTTGACGAAACTGAAACCATATCGCTAAATGCTCGTGCTGGCAGAACCACCGCAGTTTTATTTCGATAAGTCCCAGTGATTTCCTTTTGTTAATTAGCTAACAGTACATATCCTCCGGTCTATTATTCTAGTTAGTGCGACTGATTTATAATTACTTAGGCGACAATGGGCAAACATCTGCAAACTGTTGCCGCGATGGCATGCATGAAGAGCCTCTTGATGGTTTTTAATTTCATATTTTGGGTAAGTCTGATGCAGAATAGGAGATCGCGTTTTATTAATATTTATGCGGCATTACTTATCGACTTTTTAATTACGCGTAGCGTAGTTCGTTAATCGATGGGGTACATACACGTGACTACCGCAACATATGGAATTTGCATACCGCGATGAATTTATTTTGCACAAGTTTTTCAAATTGGAAATAATAGACAAATGAATATGTACGGATTTGTGGTGGAATTTTGTTATTTTATGCCTATGTTATTCATATTTGATTGCTAATTTCTGAACATTATAAAAAACGCGAATGAAATTACTATAAATGAATTTATAAACTTGAATTTTCAAAAGCAATTTGGTTTTAGAGCAAAATATTAAAAAATAAGAAAAACTCCAGTGAATGGGCATTCATTCATACCTGATAGATGAACACTCAAGTCTATTGAATGAACATAATATATTCTGGAAAAGTAACTATTTTAAAATGTAGTTTTACACGTAGTCATTGGGTATTTTTACACAGTTTTTATTTTTAGTACATTCTCAACGGGGTACCATATTTTATCCACAGTTTGAGTCCTTTTCCTAAATTTTCTAGTAGCCGTCTGGACCATAGTTGTAGTTTCATAATCACCACCTTCTTTTTTGATAATTTTGACCAAAAAATGTTGATTATCATATTTGAAAATTACTTAGTCACCCATTCCAAACGGCTTTTCTTTATTGCTGGATGTCTTATTCTTAATTTGGTTGTTGCAAAATCTGCTTTTGTCCTATTTCCTATATTTTTTTGTTTAGCTGAACGATTTTTTTATTTTCGGAACTTCGTTTTCTTTCTTCCTTTCTTTTCTTTGTTTCTTCTCATCATTTTTGTTTTTCTTTTTGCTGTCGAACCATTCTCACCATTCTGTAGAAACCAACGCAAAAGGCATTGCACTTTTTCATTTGCTTTTATTTTTATCAAAATCCATTCTCTTCCACATACATCAGTCTAATATAATCTGCTTTTCAGTTTTGTTTTGAATCTTCCGTGTATCCTAATTGTTGACTTTGTGGATAGTCTCTACTTCAGTATTCCTCCTGCTATCACCGTCATCGTCAGTCTCCTTTTTATTAAGTTTTCCATTTCTGATTAACAACCTTCGGTTCTGCATCAATTTGGGTCTTCTTTCCGTTCTCTTCACCAGTCCTCTTTTCGGTCACATTTTCATTCTTCCTTCTGTTTTCTTTATTTCTTTCTATCTTACCCCAACTTCGGTTTTCTTTCCATTTAGAAATAATTTAGTAATAATAAAATTATAATTATTGTTCTTTTTTATTTTCTGTACAAACCACAAAATAAAAATAAGGTATTGTAATTTTTTTATCGAATCGGTTCTTATACATGCCTTAGTAGCTAATATTCACAGCACCCTGTACACAAAACACATTTAAAAATGTGCAATATTAAATATTCAAAGAAGTCATTTTAGCAAAAAAATAGTAAGTTTGTAAACAGAAAGTTGTAAAAATTTTTATGAATTTATTAGTGATGTTAAAAAAATAAACATAGTGATAAAGTCTATCTCTAACAGTATGGGACAATTTAAACAGTGTCTATCAGTAAGGTTTTTACTCCAAATTCAACTTTCTGCAACTAAAATTCCCCTGTCGGGAGTAAAACATATAGATTTAATATTTTAGAAAAATACACTGGGCATTTTTTAAGTCGATACCATAACCTTTTGAAAATTTAGCAAATTTAGCCTGTTGGAACTAAAACATATAGTGAAAACAGGTTAATTCTGTATGTGCAGGTCTTCATATGGAAAACAAAAATAAAAATTTTAGGGTTATGAGACATTTACTTTTCGTTACAATATACAGGGTGTATCTAATAACACCGAAAAAATGTAAGGGACGATTCTATGATGAAAATTAATAGGGGCCTGTGGTATAACATGTTTGGAAAAAACTTTCCCCTGCAAAGTTACGCCCCTCCAAAAATAAAAAAAAATGTTTTTCTTTTTTATCTTCCATGTATATCAAGCTAAAGAAATCAAACTTGGTTAACATTATCTGTTAAAAAACTACACTTTTTGATATTTTTTCAACCCTGAAGTATTTTTGCAAGGGGTTGAAATAATCAACCCCTATGACATTTTTTCTTATAATTTTTTTTCGATAAAATTTTTTCCTTTTAAAAAATATGTCTAAAAAGCCCCATTCATTCACTAACTTTTTGATCTCTTCAAATTTTTTCGAAAGGTTAAGGATTTATGAGAAAAAATTGTATTGCAATGCATTTTTAAAAAGATTGAGCTGTTTAACGTGAGTGTATTTTGCCGAAAGATCTAGTGGCCTGTTCTTTGCAATGGACTCCATAGAAACAAATGTCAGTGCCATTTATTGTTATTGTTTCTTACACTTTCACAAGTTTTATTATTTTGTGTAGAAAATATTAGTTTTTTTTACATTTTTAGAGGGGCGTAACTTTTCAGGGATGAATTTTTTCAAAAAAATTTATACCATACACGTCTAGTAATTTTCATCAGAGAATCGCCCATACATTTTTTCGGTATTATTTAGATACACCCTGTATATAGATTCAATGCTTAAAAAAATGTATATTAACGAAAAACAGATGGAGTTAGAGAAGCATTTATTTGAATTGAATTTTCTTCAAAATAAACGTATCTAAAGTTATTTTTTAGAATTAACTAAATTTATGAGACAATTTACCTTTTTATAGGGTAATTGTTTACTAAATTTTATTCACTCTATAAAATAACGTTATTTAATGTATGTTAATTTAAAAAAAAAATGTTCTAGTAAACATTTTCCTAAATCCATCTCTTTTTCAGCTAGAGAACACTTTGAAATATAAAAAAATTCTAAATAGAAAAATGTCGAACAACCAAAAGTTCTTTCAAACAAAATCAAAACAGCGAACTGAGAAAATGTTTTTACAAAACTCCATTTGGCTTTTAGAGATAGAATCTCAAGAAGACCTCTGGTTACGTTCTTGGAATTAACCGCATTCGACACCCGAGGTAGAAAGACATTGGCGGAAAATTTCAAGGCACGCCCTTGCTACGGTAAATTGTTACAATAGTTCCGATAACAGAACTTTATTGGCTTATTGTTTTCTTGGGATTTTATCTAAACAAATATCGTGGACTAGAACACTGTTTTCAGAATTGAATTTCTTCACTAGTTTTCAAGAAAAACAAATTTTCCAAAACCTGTCGATCACCCTGTTCATAAAGATTCTAATAAATAATTTTAGAAGAAGGAAGAACATATTTAAGTGCCAAGAATTAGATATTTCTGTTTTCTTAAAATTCAAAAATACTTATTTCCATCAATACAATTTCAGATCGTCCTTTTCGATTTCTATTATTTTATTACTTAATAACAATTAACTAATCGATTTTTTTATCCCAAACTTTCAATCCAATTGGTGATAGTAATAATATATCTACTCTTCATTCTAATCGCAAGGACTAGTCAAAATCGAAGACTTGCACCAAGAGGAGGCAGCACATTACTCATCGGGTTGCGCTTAGTCCCATTAAGGATTACTTTTGTAATCACACCCTTTAATCGGATTTTTAATAAAATTAATAAATATTTTTAGATTTCTGGCATTGCCATCCTAGCCATAGGCATATGGATGGAGGTGGAGCTGTACAAGTACATGGAGATGAGCACCGAGTTCAGCGGCACTGCGCCCTACGTGCTGATAGGGATAGGATCGTTAATTATCTTTATCGGATCGTTTGCCTGTTGCTGCACCGTTAAAGGGCAGCCAGTGCTGCTATACGTGGTGAGTAGCGAGAAAATTGTCATAGTTATGCCTTTATCAGCGATCACGATATAAATAGAAAATTGCACGTTTAATTCACAAAAATGGTCTAATGCCAAACTAGATCCTAATGGTTTTATGGAAAATAATTAATTAATCAACTTTATAGGTCGTTTTTCATTAAAAACATCGGTAAAGGTCTTGGGAACGACCTATCAGTAGAGCTGGCACAATTGTGTCTTCTGATTTCCGCCAGTTCTTTAATGTGTGTGTTGTGCATTGTTTAATATTTATTATTTTTTGTATATTAATATTTTAAACATCATTATCTTTGCTTGCTATGGGTTCTTTCATTTTCATGGTATCTGGAAATACATAAACCAATCTTTACCTGGCGGTATAATTCTCAAAAGTATAAAAAATGATATAAACTCGCGTCAGAAAATGCTTAGTTTTCGAGATATGCATTTGCTGATACACTGTTCTATAGGTGAAAAACCCAACTTCAGAACAAGAGGGCAAAGTGAAAAAAATACAGAAGAAACATTAAAAAAGAAAGAAAACAACAATTAAAGTACAATAAAACAAAAACGTGTTTAAAAACTATTTTGATATTAACATAAAAAGAGAGCATCAATAGTTAAAAATTGCAATTAAAAAAAAAATGTATATATAGAAACATATCAGCTAAAATACATTGATTTTATTTTGCAGCACTGAAATTAAAAATATCTCACTGATTACCTAATAAATTACAATAAATACACATTGTGTCAATAGGTGAATATTTAAATATATTTGTTCGTGGCGTAGAAATATAAAAAGTGTTTCCCTCTCTTGAGTTCTCGGAACGTAAAAATTAATTGATACAAAATATTCTTACAGTTAGTTTGGTTATTCAAAATTTTAAATAAGAATAGTAGGTACACAATATCACTAACGCCTAAAATCAAGACTTTTCAAGAAATTTTGATTTAATAAGTCACATTCTTGTGACCAATAAGTAGAAAGATAACATCAGTTTTAAATTTTAGACATTTAACAAACTTTCTTCGTACTGCTTCGATATTCTGTACAAATGAATTATAGTGAAGAGACCAAAAAGGTGGTGCACATTTAAGCTCAAATCTAACAAAAGAAAAATACAAAGTTTTTAACGTGTTTATTTGGACAAAATCTTTACTGTTTCTGACTATGAAACCGTACGGCTTACACGCTTCAGATATAATTTTTTCAATGTGTGAATTGAAAGATGGTCGAATTAAAGTAACACCGCTAAAATTATAGTCGAATATTATTTTCGATTATTTTAAAATATAAGATATTACACTTCTCAGCATTCATAGGAAGTCTAATCAATTGGGACCAATTATCAGTTTAAATCAAATTATTTTGAAGACGTATACAATCGTCGACAACGGTTGAGAATATTTTCAAGTCATCAGCATAGAAAAGGTAATTAATATCTAAGCAATTGATTATATAATTGATAAAAATGTTGAACAGTAGGGGCCCAAGAACAGATCCTTGCGGGACTCCAAACATGGCTAAGTAATCCACAGACTTACACCCTTTAAGTAGGAATACTGAAATCTATTTGACAAATAAGATTTAAATAATTTTAATAGAGAATTCGCGAGACCAAACTTATGAAGCTTTGACAGTAATATTTCATGGTAAAGTAATTTTAACACATTTGTATATTTTCCCAGAATAAACAATGTTTTGCCAAAATGACGTTTGTATGTTTCCGTTTAACGTAAAAAAGCAAACATAATTGCATAATAACGAATTTCGCAAAAAAGAAAATCAAAAATTTTAATCAAGAATGCCTTTTTCTCGTAAAATGAACAATACAAATTTTGTACTGTCCGTTTCTTTCAAAGTAGGCCGATTCGTACACAAATTCAAATTATAATATAAATTTTAATTCTAAGCAACTTTCCTTATTAACATATTTCTTTATTGTTAAAAACAAAGGCAGTTTATTCTTGAACGATTTTTATCTTTACCGATTTTCTGATCACCCTACAAAAATTTTAATCAAGATTGCCTTTCTTTCCTAAAATGAAAAATAATAATATTTTCCCTCTTTTCCACTATAACCGTGAACATAACTAGAACCTATTTGTATTTTTATGTGTAATGTACAATTTAATATTTACATTATTACATTTCTAGTTGATTTCAAGTTTCAAGTTAACCCAAGCAACGTATTTTTATTATTTTATTTTTTTAATTTTTTGCCTATTTTTTAATAGATAAGTTACAAATAAAGAAATAATGTATTTGCTATGCATTCTTGTTTTCTTTTACTAAAAAATATATAGTTTTAGTTACTTAGAAGACAAATAAAAATTGGCCATAATTTTTGTCCTTTGTTGTGAATTTTTAACTGCTTTTTCCTAATACTATGAAATTAAAAATAAGCAACTCTAAATTCCTGACATCCTGTAGATCTACTTCACAAAAGAATATTAACTGCATAATTTTCGTTTGATTTATAGTTAAATATAAAGTAGGATAGTTCCTGTTCATAAATATTACAATATAATAACTTACGCAATTTGTCTATTTTTACTAATACACCTATAAGGCACTTCCTATAATAAATAAATATGAATATTACAGTTACACAGAAAAGTCATTAAAATATTTACGAATGCATTAGGTAAAACTGATACAGAACATAATTATCTCGCATTATCATATACATACCTAAAATCAATAAAACATTTAATTAGGTATTCAGTTAGTAAATAACAAGAACCGGTAGATTATTTTGCACAGTTTCATTTAACACATGAAATTTGCGTGTTATTAAAGTTATCAGAATAATTTGCGCACATATATGTCACTGTCATAACTGTAATTTGTCTTGGTTTATCGGACTGACAGAGACATAACTGCTAACGATAATAATATTTAGTTATCGAAAAATTCCTATGTTGCCGTTATTATTGATGTTGATACATTTATTAACAAGAATAGATAACTGTAATCGTATAATGTTCGGGATAGAGTGCGGAAATTTTAGATACCTGTATACGGGGTGTTTTGGAAGAAGAAGGTGTCTCAAACTCGATAGTATGGGCCTACTGTGAGGATACAAAAAATTTAAATAAAATTTGGAACACGTGGTGTTAAATGGGATGAGGTAAGCTCCATTTTCAATAGAAAGAAAATATTTGGCACTTAACAGAAGCGACTAATGACGTCATCAATTATATTTTTTCCAGAAACATGCCCAAATTTTTTCCTGTCAAAAAGCTCTCTTTTTTCTAATAAACTTTTATAGGAGAAATTTTTCTGTACTACTTACCGTTTAAAAGTTATAAGCAATGTCGTCCAAAAGAAATACTACCTAAAAATCATATTAGCGGTGGAAGGATCAAGTAGTCGTTGGAATATAATTGAATGTTCGTTGTGTAAAGTGCATAAATGTCACAAAATATTTGTCATTACTCAATACGAACGTCAGACGTATAACTTTTGTGCTTATAAAATGTTTTCTCATTTAGGAAAAGTTGATATGTTGCTAATTTACGGCGAGTCACAACAAAATTCAAGAAAAACTGTAGTGTTATATCGCGAAAGGTATCCAGAGCGCCTCATTCCTGTTCATAGAACCTTTACAAGATTGGAGGCGACATTGCGACGAAATGAAGATGCATTTTCTGTTCGGAAAAATCAAATAATTGACCGAAGAGTAAGAAACAATATTAATACAGCTAGACTGTTACAGTATTTTGAACAAAATCCATGAAATTCTATACGGCATACGGCAAGCTAGCAGGGAATTTAATTTGGATAAATCAGCCGTTCAACGAATTTTAGAGATGGGTACCTATCATGACTACAAAATTCAGAATTTGGAGTTTTTCCCTGAGCGTCACATTGAAAACAGACTTAAAGTTATAGCTCAAATTGTAGTAAATGTAGAAACTGTTTATCAGAACCTTTTTAGGTACGTTCTTTGGACGGACGAAAGTCTTTTTTGTCAGTAATGGTTTGCCAAACAGACGAAAAGAACACTAGTGGTCCATTGAATACACGGTCGATAACCGCACGGTTTAAGGCGTCAGTACTTAAATCGATGTGTCGATCTGCCCGGGTTTCGAATCCCGCGGCCGGTAGACCGTAGATTAGCTATGCTTGTACGGAGGATTGGCACCCTCTGTGCGGGTATGGTAGGGTGGAAGAATGTTGGCTTGGGTCAATGTGAGAGATTGACACCCCCCTAATTAATGAGGTTTTCTAGGTTTCCCTCATTTTTTAAGTTTAATTATTGTTATCATCACATTTTGTTTTAACTGTATTAAAGAGTTATCGAGTTTAATCTTCTTATTTACTCTTAATGACATTTATGCAGTTTAAACAAAGAAACAATCAATTATTTTGCAGCGACTTATCCTTGCACCGCTAATGTGATTTTTAGGTGGTGTTTCTTTTGAAACTTTTTAGTACGATATTGCTTCCTAACTTTTAAACTTGAAGCAATACAGAAAAATTTCTCTAAAAAAAGTTTATTAGAAAAAAAAAAGCTTTTTAACAGGAAAAAAATTTCGGTATGTTTCTGGAATAAAATGCCATCGACGACGTCATTAATCAATTCTGTGAATTCCCAAAGATACCTAATACTTTCGATTGAAAATAGAGCTTACCTTATCCCATTTAACACCACATGTCCCAAATTTTATTTAAATTTTTTGTATCCTCACAGTACGTCCATACTATCGAGTTTAAGACACCATGTACAATAAATTCCTAGGCTAATAGAATAGCAAAAAATAATATTGCAACTTAAAAATAGTATAGGCCCTTGCTGCGTAGGAATAAATCTTCTTATTTTTTGTTGCTTGTACAGTTCCTGAAAGTATGGTATTTCTTTCCAAAATATCCTGTAGAATATATAAATCAGTACAGAAAATTTATTGGTTTATTATAGGTAATAAGAACAAAAGCAAAAAATTAATGTTATTTAAAAATGTACTGAAAAAATTATTAGAATTTTCCAGTTT